AATGTTTGCTTAAGACAGTTTTGATCGCCTAAGAGTTTATAATTTAGCGAAAGTTTCAGAAATTACAGGTCTAGGTATCCTGGGACAAATCATGAAGATGAAATGACCGAGAATAGCATAGGACCCGAGTGCATATTCACTAAAACCACCAAGACGATGTCAATCTAGTAGCTTTATTTTTTGTGGTGACCTTTTCCTTGAGGCTTTTCCTTGTGAAGTTGTGATAAGGTAATTCGGTTACAAGCCCTTGTTCAAAGGTGTCATATTAAAGCAGTATTTGAACAAAAACGTGTGGATTTGACTTGAATCATAACATTATGTACACTCAATTTTTTAACGATGTACTGACTCGAGATTAAAATTTTTGAGGGTTGTAATGATTATTTACTTATTTCTAATTAAATAATAAGTCTTTTATGTGTATGCCTTGTGATCTCTTAGGCTCTTAAACACACTTTTCCATGTTATAGTACCATTTGTATTCTCAATAATTTTGTCTAGATTGGTGTTAAATGTGATCGGCTTAGTTGCTCATGTATTGAATATTAATGCAATGGCGTTGGGGGTCTGAAGCTCTGAACGCTAAACCCTGAGTTTAATAATTTGGTGTTGGGATGTGATCTTCCTCATATTGGTTCTGAATAAAATTAGCTTGAGATGGTAACCTGTTGGGCAGTGGTAATACTATTTTCAGGGGAAGATTCTAACAAATAACAATCAACCAGCAGCTAACTAAGCACACATTCAGACAATATATCTGATAACCAAGTGACTTTCGACAATTTTCAATATTAGTCCATGAATGAAGAATAATTCAAGTGCAAAAGGTAATACGACTGGGATGGTGCATCTTACAGTATTGTACGATGTACCATATTGATAGTTTGAATGGACTTGGAACCAGAATGTACAGTGCATTGCACTTGTAATCATGCACACCTTCAACGAGTGTAATACGAAGCGTTGTTTTAAGGATCCACTATTTTACTTCTCTGGTAATCCTTCTGTAATTTCCAAGGAACAAGATGAACTGAGAAAACACTACCGTGATCTACTTGTATCTCTCTTTTACAGTTTCATTTAATCTTGGCAGCAAGTATCCATTATCCAACCATCCATACCCGCGGGGGGTGGGGGGATCATGCTAAAATAAATTACTGCCTCTCCAAGGTTCAAGTTACCTCCGTCCAAGAAGCAAAACCCAGAGGTTTCAGTGCACACAAAGCGTCTTCGTTCCAATTACAAATTAAACCTAAATAAATACTCCTTCCGATTTTTTTTAATTGCAACTTTTACTATTTTAGTCCGATCAAAATTAAATGCAACTTTCTATTTTATTTCTATTTTGGGTAAACAAAAACCTTCAAAATGACTATTTTACCCTTACTTAAAATTTGTAATTTTTTTACTTTACCCCTTATTAACCCTAATCCCCCATTACACTAAAAAACATCCCAATTACACTAATCTAATTACTCCCTCCAATTTATTCCCCCAACCAACAACACTCTCCCAAATCCCCAACTACCCACATTTAAGTGGAATTTTTTTTTTTTTTTTATTTCTACTTCTAGAGTTCTCTGAAGAACCCTAGATCTGGTTCTTCGTCTTCCTCTTCCTCGCTCCTTCGCGTCTGTGACTTTCTCCATTTCACCTCCTCCATTCTGACCTTCACTCCTCCAAACTTTAAACACTTGAGTCCCCCACTACAATGGTTGACGTAGATCCACTAATCGACGCCTATATAGCAACCGATGACAACAGCTAGCGAGGGAACTTTCATCAAGTCCCTTATTCTGGATATCCAAAGGGGAGATGATTTTCCCGTCGACTGTACACTCATAAAGATGGGAGGAGCTGCTGTTCTCCGAGTACGTTCAGGGCGTTGGGCGAAGTTCTCCGACGGATGGATGACGAGGAGAAAAAAAAAGGGGCTGAGGGTGAGGGAATTGCTGAGTCCCGTGGGAAAAAAAAGATTGATTTCAATCCTGTTTGTGTAGATCTGGAATGCGAAAGTGCCGAGGGAAGTGGTGTTGTGTTCTCAAAGCCCAGATCTAACCCTAATAGGCCGCCGACGAAGAGAAGGACAAAAAGGAAGGCGGCGTTGGTGGCTAGGAGGCGTTGGCGGGGGTTGCCTGACCAGGAGGAGGGTGAGGAGGGTGACGAAGCTCTCTGCGAGGCAGATGAATCCTAGGGTTCAACCCTCCACCTGACCCTTGCGTAACGACTCCTAACCCTACCTATCTTAAATTTTTTTGAATAAAAAGAGTCCCTTTTATTTAATTTTGTCGATATCCTGTTGATTTTCCATGGTATTTGGTTGGTGTTGTTGGATTTTTTTTACTAGATCTGGATGCATGTTGTCTTGCTTGGTTATTTGTCAACTCTTGCTCTGTTGTATGCTTGGTTGATTATTTGTGATATCCTGGGCTGTTGTAGTTGGTGTTGTGGATTAATGTTGGCTTGGTTGTTTTGTTATTGTATCCTCTGGTGTAGTTGGCGTTGTGGATTAATGTTGGTTTGGCTGCTTTGTTATTGTATCCTCTGATGTAGTTGGTGATGTGGATTAATGTTGGCTTGGTTGCTTTGTTATTGTATCCTGTGGTGTAGATGGTGATGTGGATTAATGTTGGCTTGGTTGCTTACTTGTGATATCCTGGTCTTTTGTCATGTATGGTGCTCCTGACTTGGTTTGCTTTGTCTGCTGTTTTGGACTATGTAACATGTATGCATGTGTTGGAGAATATTGTAAGAATTGTTTGGTTGTTGGTATATGGCATTTGGTGCATATGGCTGTTTGATTGATGAATAATGAGGCTAATGTGTGAATACAAATGTTAAAAGTCCCCTGGTCATACCTTCAAGTGTTCTCAATGATCAATTTAGTAGGGAACATATGACAGTCCCTTATGTGGTAGCATTACTTGTATTCAGTCCCCTACTTGTCTGTGTACTCTGCCCAAATCCAAATGAGGAAGGGACTATGTTGACCTTCACAACCCACATGTGTCTTGCTCCAACTATGTGCTTTATGCCTTTGTTGTTGAGGTAGCCATGTGGGTTGTTTTTTTTATTGAAATATGGGAAAAAAATAAACTTCTGATGGATTGAATGCCCACATAAAATCAGACAAAGAACCATTTCTATTCAATTGAACATGTGGTTACAAAATTACTTAACATTAGACTGCCTTACATGTTTGATAACTGAATTCAACAAAATACACATAACCACCTAAAAAATAGAACATGTTAACAAAAAATTACCATACCAATTGTAAGTGGTTATGTGTGGTAGTCCATGTGTTTGTACTTTGATGTGATGAGTCCCTCAGTCTGCATCTACCTCATTGTCTTCTGTTCCTTGATCAGTCTCCTCAATCACTAGCCTAAACAAAGTGTCTAGGTACTCCACTGCCTCCAACACTATTTTCTTCTGCACTTCTACTTCATTTGGAAACTCTCCAAGGTTTTCCAGTTTTTTCTTGTTCATGTGAGGGAGTTTGTACTTGTTTCCACCTTGACTTTGAGGATCTCAATCATGCACTTTTGCAAAGTTAGCCAAATATACTTGTTCACTTGTGGATTGAATGCCTCATAAGATTCTTGCACTTTTTGTAACTAACTCATCTAGGTTGTTAGGAAAAGATTGATATTGCAATGATTGAATTGACCTAAACAACCCTAAGTCAAGCACATTCAAATCTGGTGATTGTGCTGGTTGGAAAACAAAATGAATGTTAAATCCATGAGCTGTAGTTGCTCCCATAAACTCTGCATCATTAGGAACTTGTGAGGCCTTGCATTGTCCCATTGGACTACAATGTTTTTTGTGTCATTGTGAGGCCACTTTGAAATAATTGCTGGAATAAAATTGGTCACCAACATGTCCCTGATAACCTCTCTGTTCACATTCTGTATTGCCTTTGTTTCCCATGTTTCTGCTTCTCTGTTTTTACTTGATTTCTTGGCTAGTTGTTTCAATGTGAATGGGAACATTCCATATTTCCCATCATGGAGTAGTCCCCCATGTGTGTCATACCAAGGCTTTCCAATTAAGCCCATAAACATTGCTTTGGACTTGAATCTTCTGGACTGTATAGGCCTATAAGGATCTTCCTCACTAGGTAGGAGATAAAACCTCCTCTTGTCTGGGTTTAGATAGAACCATTTTTCATCAATGTGTATGACATGGTTCATATCAACAAATGTTGGGTCCTCATTACTTGCCACTGGATTTATGTGTGATAAAATCCATTTCAGCCTTGCAATCTTGTGGTCTGAGGTCAATGCTGGTACTTGTGTGTGTTCTTAACCTTCCCTTTTTCTTCAAATTGTGGAGGGTAGACTAGGAGATTTTTAAGCCTGTTGCGTAACTCCTTTTTGTTTGTCTTAAATGCAAAGGCACTGACTGTAGGAATGCATCAGAATATTCCTTTGCCTTTCTGCCAACTCTGCCCAACTTTTTGGTCCTGACATCAATCAAATTGCCTTGTGCCATCTGTTTTTTTACGACTGCAAATATTCTTGTGATGGCTGATTTATGCACATTGAAATTCACTGATAAGTGCTTTAAGTGACCTCTTGGTAAGTTCCCTTGATGCATGTTTACCAACATTGAGTCCACTACTTCCCTTCTTTGTTTCATTGTTAGGTTTTTTCTTTGAATGTGTTGAGTCCCATGGTGAATGGGTTGTTCCATTTCCCGGCCCCCAACCCCATCTTCTGTGTCCTCTGTGGTGTGCTGCCCTTGGTCTTCTCCTTCTGTGCCTTGCATAATTTCATCATCAGAGTCGTAGTAATACATACCTTGATCTTGCATATCCTCTGCATAATCAAAGTACAATTTTGCCTCTTCTTCTTCTATGAGAATCTGATCGACATTGAAGTACATAGCACCAATTTCTGCCATGGTTGACTAACGTGTTTTGTTTGCTTAGCCTCAACTGCTTGAAGTAATGGTGGCTGCTTTGTTTTTGAGAAGAAGATGAAGGGCGAAGAAGAAACAGCTGCCGTTGAAGGGTTTAGGGTCTTAGTTGGGCTACTAATTTTAGATTAAGGAGTTTTTTGGGTATATATTGGGCTTAACTGTCTGTAATTAATCACTAAAGTACACTAATTTCAATTGGAAGAATGTTTAAGTTTTTGATGTGAAACAACATTGAATGCTCTATTTTGATGGAGGTTGTATTTAAGATGCCTCATAAATATGAATTGCAATGGCTTATGACTATTTAAATGCTCCATTTTTTGAATATTTGGTGGTTTATTTTTTAAATTTTGGAGGGAATTAAAAATTCCCAAAAATTCAGCCAAATGAAATTTTTGGGTAAAATTTGGGGGGAAACCGCTTTAGAGGGAAAAATTTCTGCCAATTCCCCTACTTTTCTAAGGGGTTGGCCAACCATTCTCTCTCCAAAACCTTTAATCACCTTTAATTAACCCCACTATCACATACCCTTTAACTTTTGCCTCGTAAACCGCAATACTCATGAAAGTTGCAATTAAAAAAAATCGGAGAGAGTACATAAAATCATGTTTGCACAGGTGCAGACGCCTGTTGGAAGTGCGATTCTATTTTTAAATTTTCCAATTAAAGGATACACTACTCTTAAAAAAGTTCATCTGTGGCAAGGTCCACCACATGAACGAGCACTCAATTGTTCATTTTCAGATGAGGTGTTATAGTATATACACTAAAAATCATGGACCATTGCACCACAATGACATGCACGTTTTAAGAGCACTTTGCAGTTTGCACGGGGGGCATTCTTCAGGATGGCATGGCTGTGGGCCAGGGTGTGAACATGCAGGTGTCCTGAAATTAAGAAAAATAGCACTTATATGATGTTTCTCCTCTGCAGAAAAACATACTCAACAAACTCAATTAAGTGATTAACTCCAGCTGCTGGGAAAGATTAAGCAGACAATGAGTCAAAGACAAAAGAGTATGTAAAATCATAGCACATTATGATCACCAATGAAAAGATATTCCCAAAAAAAAATAAAAAAAATAAAAAAATAAATAAAAAGAAGATAAAAAAAATTACAAAAAGAAGGGCAAGAAGTCCATTGGAAACTGCACGTTACGTTTTTTTATATTATTGATAAGATCTTTCCTTCGTTAGTCCGTTTCCAAAAAAAAAAAAAAAACTAAACTAAAGAATATAACAAAAATTTATAGTGGAACTTCCGAAGCAATTACTCTACTGATTAAGATTAGCTAGGGGCAAGACTAATGCATCTAGTCCTTCCCAAACCTACTGATTACAGGATCTATACAATGTAGATTGTAATAAGTTGAAGTGACAAACAAATAACTAAACAAAAAAGGTAAAATCTACCTTTTGGCAAGGGAGAGTACAATCTTCACAGGGCACTCCTCTTGTACACCGATCTAAAGAGGATGACAAGTTCTGAAGGGCATGGCAAGTCTTTGTGCAATAATCATTGCCACAAGCAAGAGGATTTCCACACAGGTTGTCACAGGAAAATTGCGCTTTATTTGAACGAACCATCTGTGGAAAAACAAATAAATGAGGCATAACCAGGCAAGTTTATATATATATATTGCAATTGCATAATACTAATCAAAAGTAATTCTGCTAGCTGGAAACTACATCAGATTATTAGTACGTGCCTCAATTCAACCTTTTTATACCAATAAGGCAAACTAGACAGTCGAAATCAAAATAAAACCAACAGAAAACTTGATTTCTATATAATACCAACCATTCTTTCTGCTGCAAAGTGTTGGCCAAGACAGAACCTCCAAACAAGTTCTGGACATGGTGGACATGGAGTTCCCGCAGTTGGTTCACTCTGAAAATTGTGTTTCTTTTTCTTCGGTTTCAGTGTGAACTCTGGGTTAGGTGGTTGTCGAGGACCATGACACCTAAAACCAGAAAAAAGAAAGGAAAGATTATACAAAAAGAAAAAAATGAAAACCTTGTCACTTCACCCAATCTTTAAAAAAAAGGCAAAAAAATTACCTTAATGTGCAGGCATGGCCAAAAGGATACTCTTCGCCACAGGGAAGTCCACAAGGTAGGCAGTTTCCATAATGACAATACTGTGAACCACCACGCTCCGTGGCCAGGCCCTTAAGGGTGTATAGTATGTGATTCTCCACTGTATGTTCGAATGCATCATTAATTCAACACCCCAAAAAAAAGTCATTTGTAGTGTAGGAATATCATAGCCAGAATAACTGGCACTGATAAGAATCTTAAATCAATTTTCTCTGCAATTAAGTATAGCACCTAAACTTTTGGATAAGTAGATTACTGTGATTAAAGATACAATAACAAAGATCCATATTAAAACCTTTTAGGACCCTAAACAGTGGCCTTTCCGAGAAGGCTAAGTATTATACAGTCAAATAAAATGCAGATCACCTATAGGGCAAAAACAGGATCAGCAAACATAAAAATAAATAAATGCAGAATTAACGCCCCTTGTCGAAGTCAATCCTGCTCCTCCCCGAGCCACCATCATAGCCTTCTCGTGTAGACCCAGCGCTTGCTTTCATTGTACCTCCGCCACCAATTTTGTCCATGGCTTTCTTACCCTTCTTCACTTCAGTCAAAAACTGATCCAAACCAAATGGATCAGCCTCCTCGGCAACTTGCTCAAACTCAACAGGCCTCTCTCTCTTACCACTCTTCTCTGCAGTTCCAGTGAATCCCTTGTCAGGTTTGAACCTCTCAGTGTTCCTAATCTTCTCAAGCTGTTCATCAGCTCCGCCATACATTTCATTATCCATATCTTTCTTCGGCTGGTATAGAGTGGAAAGTGTAGCTTGGGCGGTGAATAAGCCCTTGTCATATACATTGTACTGGTCATCAGCAGCAAAACCAGATTCCATCCCCTTCTCTTGGTTGAACAATCGCTGATCATACATGACTTCACCTCTTCCAGACCCAACGGACGCCATACCAAGAGCAACCTTCTCACTAATATCACGATCCCTATCTCTTGTAATCTTACTCTTCTTTCCCGTAGCAGCATCTTTGGCCTCCAACCTTCTCTCCCTCTCCCTCTCTCGTCGCCGCTCCTCACGAATTTTCTCACGCCCCAACCTCTCTTCCCTCTCTTCTTTTGCCTCCCTTGTAACTTCTCTCTCTCCTCTGCCAACATAATCAGATCTCATGTCATCATCGTCCATATCCATATTTCTAGCAGGTGCAGCCACAGGAGCTGCAATACCAGTCCTCTCAGAACGTGCTTTAGCAGCCAAAGCACGCAGCTCCATCTCCTTCTTTTCCTTTTCCTTCATCGCCATCTCCTTTTGCACCTTTGATCTCATTGCCACTGCTTCTCTCGCCTTCTGCTCCGCAACATACAGGGACTCAGAAAGCTTTGCAAAATTGTCATTGATCTGAACATCTTGAAGGCCCCTTCCATCGGCTGCAAGCCGCTTATCCAATGGAATAGTGTAACCCTTAGGATTCTTCCAGTTCGAAATGCAAGGTGGAATCTTCCAATCCTGCTGATCTTTCACAGTCACAGGACGAGGTGGTGAATGCATCACCGGCACAGGTGGTGACCCCGAGGCCCTGGGAACCCTCTTGTGCTTGAACTTGGGAGGTTCAAGAGGGTCCACTGGCATCTCTACCATCCTAATGATTCTCTCTTTCGCACCAGAATTAAAAGCCTGAGCTTGCTGCGACGGCTTATACTTAATAAACTTCGAATCAGATGAATGCTTAGGCACATTCTTAGGCTGAGCAGCACTCAACCTCACATTAACGATCTTCTCAATTGCAGCTTTAGTAGCTTCAGTAGTCTCTTCAATCTCCTTTTGCAGCTCATCTGATTCTTCCTCGGAATCAGACTCTTCCCCCCTCAAAATTTTCGGCACAAGATCCCTATGTTGCGAATAAACAATCTTCGACGCATTTTCATTTTGCTTCACAATATTATCAAATGCCACATTCCCTTTACTATCTACAGTAACAGGCAATATCTTTGAACTTGGTGTCTTATCCCTGCCCATTCCCAAGGGATACTGAGCAATATGAATCTCAGGGAACGCCCCACCATCACCAAAATCTTCGGGTTTTCGAGGTTTATACCCGTCCCGTTTTAAATAGGGAGGTACATGATATTCCTTAGCAGCCAAAGCCTTTTCATCCTCTTGAGCACTAAATCGGTTCTTGAACCACGGATCATTAGTGTGGTCGTATTGCGTCGATGTTGATGACTTCGCCGGTGGCAGTTTCATCGGCGACATCTTTCGATCAATCAAACAAACAAACAAATTCCAGAAAACCTCAAATTTATCTCTAGATACGAACAAATATACTGCCAATCAACAAAAACGAAAGATAATCAATCTAATGAAACACCAAATTATAATGGAAAATATGACTTAATTATCAAAGTATGCTCGTTAAAATTGTTTGAGTAATTATAACCTAAAATAGTTCAATAATCCGAACCCTAAGAAGACTATACCGACAATTAAATTAACCAAAAAGCGGAACTGAACCCTAGAAATTGAAATTGATATTCAATGATTGAACAAAACAATCTTACCTCAGAAGCTGCGTCAATGGAGGAGAAAAACGAAGAATTCAGAGTGCGCTTCAATGGAGGAGAGAGAGAGGAGGGAGGAGAAATTGCAGCGGACAGCTTACAAGTGAAAAAATAAACGTAGGAGAGGTTTTTTTTTTTTTTTTTTTTTTTTCCAACAACTACTCACTCCATTTCGTAATAATGGTAAGGAGAAAAAAAATCTCTCAATCTCTCTCTACCCACTTTTCCACTCTTCCCATCCAATTCCTCTTATGAGAGGTTTTTTTTACTACATCAATGGATTCAATGCTCAAAAAAAAAAAAAAAACTCCTCATCACTTTATCCTCCACTATTTACTATACTCCATCATAATACACATCACCTTTTTTATTTTCTCTTTATTTTTTAATAATGTTTATACTACATATTTAACTTTTCAATACAATTAAAATTTAATTAAATTCATCAGTTTTTATTTTTAGCTTAGTTAATTACGATTTAAATTTAATTGAGTGGTTAATGAATATAGGATTTTTTTTTTTTTTTTGAAAATATGTCAAAATATATGAAAATGGATGTCTATTTATTGAGAAAAAAATTTTATGATCATGGGTAAACTTTTTTTAAAAAAAAATAAATAAATATGATTTATAGCCGTTATAAAATTACTTTTAGCATTTTTTATTGAGGCCCGTTGCTGCACTATTCATTTACAGAACTCCAAAAGACTTGAGGAGTTCTTGTTCTACTCATGAGGAGAACTAAAACTCCTCACTAGTGTGAAGCATTTTTTTTCTTTTCTTTTTCAACCCTTATTTCTCCTCGTGAGGAGTTTTTCCCTCACTGTTGGGAATGCTCTAATTTTCCCTCACTGCTGGGAATGCTCTAATAGTAGGATTGACACTAAGTTTTAGGAAGATTATAGGGTAGGAAGTAAGAACTTAGAGGAGAATTCTTTAATATAAAGTACAGAGTATAATTTTTTTTTTTAACACAAATATAAATTATACTTAGTGTGGATATATTTAATTGTTAGTAAGAGAGAGAAATAGTAAAAAAAAAATGGTATAAGTGGGGTAGGTATGAGAGAGAAATAATAAAGTAGTTGTGGATCCTGGCCAAATAAGGAAATGTTACAATTATTATGAAATGGATGAAAAAGAAAAGTGTGGTAATTTTTGTAAAATTTCCCTCCCAAAAAACTCATATTAAATGACAACATTGCTCTACATTAACTTAAATTGGGTAATACACTTCAATTGCCCCAAATCCCCCAATTTTGTAAAACCCTAAATTCAATTTTTTGAGCATAAACCCTAATTTTAAGATTCAATTGAGAAATTAAATCAACAACAACGCAAAATTAAGGACAATTTACATGTAATTTTGTCCGGCTACCGAATTCCCTTGTTTTCTCTACTACAATTGATTGAAATTTTATAAAATAGACTATCTCAATCAAAGATTCTTGCCGAAAAATTAAATGTGGTAATGTTACTCAAATTAAAGTTTTTGTGGTAATTTTTTTTAAAAAAATGGATAGAAAAGTTTTTGTGTATAAGATAATGTTCTCAAAAGTATGTGATTATTTAATGATAGTTGTTGGCAAAATTTTCGAAGTTTATATCTTTTTAATTCCCTTTGATCGATTTTAAATACCTCTCCCTTGTGTGTAATGCGTTTTTCCTTATATAATCCTGACTTTTATACTACTGCCTGAGGTAACCTTAAACTTGTAAAAACTCATCAAATTGGATGTAAAACCTAACTCCATTAATTAATTTCATAATTTTGTTTTTGAATGATTTAAATTTCATTATTTTAAAAATAAAATGGTCCAAATGAAAAGATAAAGAAGATAAGTAACTCCTTGTAATCTTCCTAACTCTTCCTTCCTTTCTTTCTAACAAAAATTTGATTTTTTTTTTTATATATATAATTTTATTCTACGTACTACCTCCGTTTTTTTTATCTGCAACTTTGAGGAATATTTGTGAGACATAAAATATTCCAAAGTTGCAGATAAAAAAAACGGAGGTAGGATATGTTTTAACTATTAAGGGTGTTAGCTTTTTCATCAAATTCCATGGTGTTTTGCTAGTTTAGGGTTACCTCATAAAGTAGTGCAAAAGTTAGGGTCACATAAAAAAATCACATAACACAAAAGGTTACATGGTATAATTTCCCTTAATTTTAAGATCTTGTTCGGTTAGCATTGAAATTAAACTCCTTTATGAAATTTTCATAGGAAGTTTTAATTTGTTTGGGTCTTGTTTGGTATATTTTTTTTGTTTTCAATTTTCTACTTTTTTTCAAAAAACCAACAATAGGAAACAAGTATATAAGGTGTTTTCGCTTTTCTGTTGTCAGGTTTTCAAAATTATCATGATTTTAATAAGTTTGACCAATTTTTAATTTACTATATAATATATAGCATATGATTTTAAAAAATAAAAAACCAGAGCGATATCAAGCGCTGGGTCTACACGAGAAGGCTACGATGGTGGTTCCGGGAGGAGCAGGATTGACTTCGACAAGGGGCGTTAATTCTGCAACAAATAAAGTGTGATCTTATCTTAAAATTCTCAAATCTAATCTATATAAATAAAGTAGGCATTTTTGGAGAGCATTCGACGTGCCATATAAGCAAAGGTATATTTTCGACCAATTAAAAATTAGATTTCTATTTTATTTTGGAATTAAAAAATTCGTTTGCCACCTAAACAAAAGTGACGAATAAGATTTAATAATTATGCCACGTAAGTAAAAATAACGAATATTAGTTTATTAGGATTTAATTTATTTAAAAAACTAAAAATTATCTTATAAAATAATCATCTTTAGATGTAGGGTTTATATACCTACTATTATAAGATAAATTTTGATAGTGTTTGTGATAAGAAATAAAAATTATTCCTTAATTAAAATTAAATTAAAATTTGTGATCTTTACCATTATAAATTGACGCATCATATGACACCAACAAAATTTCGTATCAATGCATAACCAAACCAAGCAAATTTTGTGTCATTAATTTTGTGTTAGTTTTATTAGGTCATCAATGGCTGGGTAATTCTTAGCCTAATTTTTAAAATCCATGTTTAAATGAATATTTGTGACTATTGTTTAAATTGTGTTTATTTGGGATACTTAATGATTATATGTTTATGTTTTGTTTACTGAATTTTGTTTTTACATGCAGATTTAATTTAATCAGAGAATTATATTCGAGCAAAAATCTTTGGAATATCAAAGTACGAGTTTCTCGCCTAATGATCCTATTGGATGAGGAGGTATTATATCTTTATAAATCGTTTACATTTATTAAACCTTTTGATGAACCTTTTAGTTTTTTATCAATTAATTTTATGATTAAAACAATTTTTTTTGTGATTTAGGTAGCTTAATTAAGTCATAAAATTAAATTAATTTTTTTATTTTTAATTATAGGGTGATTACGTTCATGGCTCAATTAAAGTCAACTTTGTTCTACAATTTTGTTCAAAATTGATTGAAGGAAAAGTTCACTCCATTACATACTTTTCAGTCGTTACAAATAAGAAGCAATATCGCATGCATTGTCAGCGACAACAAAATAATGATTCAATTTTCCAAAATACTATTGTTTGGGCGATTGGGGACGATGAAAAAATTCCAATGCATAAATTTAATTTTGTATAATTACAATTTTTAGATTAATTTCACAACAATTATTCACTTTCTAGTAAATATTTTAATTTATTTTATAAGACAAAAGATTAATTTTATATAAATTTTATTTTTGCTAACATGTTCTATTTATCCACTTTTATTAGATGGAAGAGATATGGGTGTGAACAAAGTTAGTGATCCTATCAAAAAAAAATTTTAATACAAATTTTTTTACATCGAAATATTACAAAATATTATTTTTAATGTTCTTATCAAAATATTTATTAGGGGAATAAATTACATAAAATTAATAAAAAATATCCTTAACAAACAATAGCAAAGTAATCAAAAATATTATGAATATGATCTAATTACAAAAATTATTTTTATGAGATTTTATGTATAAAAAACCATGGGATATTAGGATATAAATTATTAAAAAAAATAAAAATTATATTATGAAATTAATGGTTTTATCTAAATACCCGATTAATAAGATGTTTTTTTCATAAAAAAAATTTAAAACTTATAACGCAATAAAAAACTTTACCTTTATACAAATTATGTCTAAAAATTTGAAAAGACAGATAATTTGGTAGAGATAACAAGAAATATACAAAATGATATATAGATTTGAGAGTTTAATTTCTCAAGTGTAAATAGCAACGAATAATGATTTAGGATTTAAATTATTTTAAAAATAAAAAATTATTATCTTTTCACATTAAAGATTTTATCCTAATATGTATCAATGAAATATCATATTTACAATTTTTTTTTGAAAAATATCATATTATTGTCATATAACTAACAACAGTGAATAAAATACAAAACAACAGTAAATTAAGTCGCAATATAAATTACATTAAAAAATTATACTTTTGTAATTGACAATATCATTTTAATTAAATTATTATTTCTTTTTTTTTTGTCTAAAATTATTTAATTGTAAAATAAATCAAATAATTAGTAAAAAAAATAAAAAAAAAACAAAAAAAAAATACCCTTAGAGTATATACTAAAATATCTTTTCTTGAGATATATGTATGAAAAATCGTGCATCACACAGGCTTTTATCTATTTTTTAATAATTAGAGGAGAGATTGGTAATTTTCATGAATTTCTATTTCTACCGAATCAAGTTATCAATTATTAATGATACCGTTATTTTCCGTCAAAAAAGGAATGTAGTGATCATTAAACATGATCAAAAGTAAAAAGAGAATTTTGAGTAGTTTGATGACTTGAAATCATTATTATCAATTTATTTCTTTAGTTTCTATAGGTTGCAACACTTCTCAATTTATATTTGTCAATGTGTACTTTCTATCACATATCTCTCATTATTTTATTTTATTTTTTTGATTCAAATGAGGATACAAAGTTCCAAGAGAAAATAGAAAAGCAAGAAACTAAAACAGCAAACAAACAAAAAATAAAAAACCACCTACGGAGGGATAAAACGAGGCATAGCTACATCTCTATTATCCTCCTCTGAAGTACGACTAAGTTCTACCGGCACATATCTCTCATTATCGATGTGTAAATATTATACATACTTGATATCATGAAAGTATAAATTGAAACATATTTAATAAGACTTCACATAACTATATTTTTAAAT